GGCTGATAACGTGATGGGTTTCCGTGTGTGTCAGACATCCGTAGATCATGTGATGGGTTTCCATGTGTGTCAGAAACCCGGCAGATAAAACGATATGAACAAGTGCAGAGTAGATTGTCCGAGGTGAAACAATTCTCCGCTCGGCAGGGACTGGCCTGCTCCACGTCCCATGGGTGGGCTGGCCTTCAACCTCTCTGTTCCCACCCCACCCTCTCAAACTCCATCCCGGAGCCCCTCTATCTTGCCCCCTCCCTCGCCTCCTTCACGGCCCATCTCAATACCTTCCTTGTCTACCGCGCCATTCAGTCAGTCTGTCTACCTGTCTGTGCCCCTGTCTCCCTGTCTGTTTGAAGATCTGTCTCTCCCTGTCTGTCTCTCTGCCTGTCCTGTCCCCTCCTCACCACAGGCTTTGCTCTGCACAGACAGAGGTTCCTGAATTCATAGTGTGGGATCACTCACTGATAATTATTGACAGACTTTATTATGCCTGTAACACATTAGCTTTCAGTCACTCCACCCGCGACTATCACCCCATGCCGCTACCCCTCCACCTCGCCCTCTCTTTCCCCATCTTCAGGCTGCCACTGAAGACCTTCCTCTTTGACTGCGCTCAGGGTTACCTCTCCCCGGCTCGGAGTCTCGCTCCGCCACTGTTAATCGCTGTGCTTCGTCACCCTGCATAAGAATCAGCGGCATCATCCTGGCTCAGTGGCTCGCACTCTCGCCTCAGTCAGAAGGTTCAAACCCCGTTTGAACTCACACAGTCCAGGCTGAAGCTCCCAGCGCAGTGCTGGGGGGAGAGAGAAAGAGAGTGCCGCATTGTCGGGAGATGCCTTCCCTCAGATGAAACGTCAAACCTCACTCCCCATCTGTTTCCTGCTCAGGTGGACATTAATGATATAATAATAATAATCCTTGCATTTGATATAGCGCTTTTCACGTTGGGAGGACCTCCCAAAGCGCTTCACAGAACACACTGTGAAGTGAATTGACTGTATATTTGTGGGCGAACGCGGCAGCCAATTGCGCACAGCAATGTCCCACAGACAGTCGTGGATTGAAAATGACCAATTTATTATTGTTTTTGGTTTTGGAGGGATTATTATTAGGCTCTGTGTGGAGTAAGGAAACTTGCCCAAGGTTTGGCCCTCTGCCTGGAATTGAACTCAGGTCTCTCACTCGCAAAGCGAGTGCTCTAACCACTGAGCTACAGGACCCAAAGATCCCCAGGATCTCCTGAAGCTCAGTGGTTAGAGCAATCGCCTTACAACCGATAAGACCTGGGTTTGATTCCCCGGCAGAGCGAAACATTTCCTTACTCCACGCACATGCCTCTGTTTACCTAGCAGTAAGTAGGAACCCGATTGCTAGTCGATCGGCAGATCACTTTCTGGGGATGATAAGCCCTTCAAAAAAATATAGAATAATTTAGTGACTCAATCCACGACTCCTTATGGGACACTGCTGTGTGCAATTGGCTGCCGGGCTTTCAGCCTCTCTGCCCCCACACTCTGGAGCTCCATCCCACAGTCCTTTCATCTCGTTTCCTCCATTACCTCTTTCAAGGCCGGTCTCAAGACTCTTCTCTTCGATCATGCCTTTGGTCACCCTCCCACCTCTCTGCCTTCCCTAACCACTACACCATCCCTCCCCGATGCTCGGGCCCCGACCCCTGACTGTTCAGCGCTTTGGGACATCCTCCCAACGTGAAAGGCGCTCTATAAATGTAATTTTGTTGTTTGTTGTTGCCGCGTTTTACCCACAAAATAGAATCAATTCACCTTACAGAATATTCTGTGAAGCGCTTTGAGACGTCTCGAAGACATGAAAAGCACTATACCAAATGCAAGGATTATTATTATTATTACAGTATATTCTGTGAGGGGCTTTGAGTCGTCTGGAAGCCGTGGTAAAGCACTATATCAAATGTAAGAATTATTATTATCTCCCACAGCACTATGGGAAAAGAGAAGGGAGTTTCTGTCTCTCCCCATACCCTACCTGACAATCTCCCAGATAAAATCGCTCGCTCGCTCACTTCATGGCAGTTGTGGGATATTGCTATGCGTAAGTTGGCTGCTCATGGCCCATTAAACACACACTTTATGGCGTCCTCTCAATATGAAAGGCACTGAGTCAATTATCATTATTATTATCAGTAGAGATAACAGAGGTAATAACAATAGTAATCTTACATTTAGTAGAGTATCTTTCAGGACAATGACAATCCGCATTTACACTGTGCCTTTCACATCGGGAGGATGCCCCAAGGCGTTAGATGGATTTGGAGCTGAGCTGGGGTTTGGGATCAGGAGGGGTAGAGGGGAGGGTGGGGGTAGGAGGGTGACCGAAGGCGTGGTCAAAGAGGAGGGTCTTGAGACAGGCCTTGAAGGAGGCGAGGGAGGGTGCGAGGCGATGGGAGTGTGGGATTGAGTTCCAGAGGGTGGGGGCAGTGAGGCTGAAGGCCCGACCACCCATGTGTGGTGGGCCGGGTGGAGGATGTGAAGCAGGTTGGAGTCCACTGAGCAGAGGGAGTGGAGGTTGATATGGGATTAGCAGATCACAGAGGTAGGGAGGAGCGAGGTCTTGGAGGGCTTTGAAGGCGAGGACGACGATTTTGACTCTGTCTTCTGGGGGAATGGGGAGCCAGTGGAGCCGGGCGAGGGTGGGAGTGATAAGGTCATGGAGCCTGGTGCGGGAGAGAACACGAGCTGCGGAGCTCTGGATGATCTGCAGCCTGTGGAAGGAAGTGTTGAGGAGGCCGACAAGCAGGGAGTTGGCATAGTCAAGTCTGGAAGTGAAGAAAACGTGGATGAGGGTCTCAGCGACCTGAGGGGTGAGGCAATGGCAGAGCTAGGAGATGTTGGGGGGAAGGTAGAGCGGGTCACAACAACAGCAACAAGATTACATGTGTATAGCGCCTTTCACGTCAGGAGGACGTCCCAAGACGCTGGACAGAGTACAGCATTTCAGACCCGAGCTGGGGTTGGGGGGAGGGGCAGGGGAGCGGCTGATGGCATGGTTGAAGAGGAAGGTCTTGAGGTGGGACTTGAAGGAGGCTGAGGAGGGGGCGAGACGGAGTGACTGGGGGATGGAATTCCAGAGGTTGGGGGCAGAGTGGCTGAAGGCTCTCCCGCCAATGGTGGGACGGGTGGGTCGATGGACGTGGAGCAGCCAGAGCCGGCTGAGCAGAGGGAACGTGTGGGTTGGTAGGGTGTTAGGAGGTCGCAGAGGTAGGGTGAGGTGAGGCCATGGGGGGCTTTGTAGGTGAGGACCAGGATCTTGAACTGGATCCTCTGAAGGATAGGGAGCCAATGGAGTTGGGCGAGAGTGGGGAGATGGGGTCGCGGAGTTTGGTGCGGGAGAGGACACGGGCTGCAGAGTTAGTTCTGGAGTATCTGCAGCCTGTGGATGGAGGAGTTGGGAAGGCCGACACGCAGGCGTTTGCATAGTCGAGCCTGGAGGTGATGAAGGCATGAACAAGAGTTTCAGCGGCCTGAGGGGTGAGTTAATGGCGGAGTCGGGCGATGTTACAGAGGTGAGGGAAGGCAGAGCGGGTCATGGCTTGGATGTGGGGAAGAAAAGACAGTTGAGGGTCGAACCTGACTGGCTGGTGAGTTGAAGTGTGCAACCATGGAGGTTGATGCTGCCAGAGCCTGAGGTGCAGAGGGTCGCGGCACAAATGTGGGGTTTAAAGGAAAGTTGAACCAGGAGACTGAGGTTTCGGACTGGTTCAGTGAGGTGGAGTGTGTAATAATAAATAATCCTCGCATTTGATAGAGCGCTTTTCACGTCGGGAGGACGTCCCAAAGCGCTTCACAGAACACACTGTAAAGTGAATTGACTGTATATTTGTGGGCGAACGCGGCGGCCAATTGCGCACAGCAATGTCCCACAAACAGTCGTAGATCGAAAATGACCAATTTATTATTGTGTTTGGTTTTGGAGGGAATATTATTAGGCTCTGTGTGGAGTAAGGAAACTTGCCCAAGGTTTGGCCCTCTGCCTGGGATTGAACTCAGGTCTCTCACTTGCAAAGCGAGTGCTCTAACCACTGAGCTACAGGACTCCAGAACGTTGATGCTGTCAGTGACTGAGGTGTGGAGGCGCTGATGGGAGCCAAGCAGGAGGGCTCGTATACACTGTCAGTCTCTCTGACTGTCTGTCTGTATATGTATCTTGTTGATTATCTAGCTTCACGCCCTCTGGATTTTCCCCGGCTGACAGCCAACCCGATCAGCCCCGCCACCCTGGCAATGCCAGCTGCAGCCAACATGCCCACGATAGCTCTCTCTGTCACTCTCTCTCTGTCACTCTGGGCTTCTCTCTCTCTTTTTCCCTATCGCTCTCTCTCTTAAGTTTTTCTCTTTCTTCATCTCGCTCTCTTCTGGACTTCTCTCTCGGTTTTTCTCTATCTGTCACTCTATCACACACTCTCTGGGTTTTTCTCTCTGTCACTCTTTCTCTCTGTGTCACTCTGTGGGTTTCTCTGTGTCACACTCTCTGTGTTTCTCTGTCACTCTGTCTCTCTGGATTTTTCTGTCACTCTCTCTGTGTCATTCTCTCTGGGTTTCCCTCTCTCTTTGTGTTTCTGTCAGTGTATCTGTAGGTTCTCTCTATCTGTCAGTCTCTCTCTGTGTTTCTGTCAGTGTCTCTCTCCGTCAGCGTATCTCTCTCTCTCTCGGTGACTCTCTGTCAATTTCTCCCTTAACAGTGTCTCCCTCTCGCTGAATTTTTGTCTCTCTTGAGTTTCAATGTCTCTCCCTGAGCTTCGCTCTCTGGATTTTTTAGTCTCTCTCTCTCAGGTTTTTAAAGAGATACAGATCGATCTACAGACAGACAGTCAGAGAGACTGACAGACACCAACAGATAGATATACAGACACACACAGACAGAGAGACCAACAGAAACACACACACAGATAGATAATAGACACACAGCTACATACACAGACACACACATAAAGACATGTACAGGGAAAGCCAGCAAGATAGGGTAATGTTGTAGTGTGTTTATTGGACATTAGAAAGCTCAATCTACACATATAGTCTGCGTGGTTCAGTGGAGGAGAGGTGGTGGGTGGTATGTTCTGGGAGCACCACACCAATGTTAATAAAAACGGGGCCAGGAGAGGCACAGCGCAGTTACTATCAAAATCACCGTCAGGAGGAGGGGACGCACGTCATTTGATGGCTTCAGCGCTCAGCGCGGTGGGGGATAGGCCAGAACTGTCAAAGGCAGAGCAGGTTCAGGGCTCAGGAATGCTTCACGCCCTCTGGTCAAGATTTTCCTCGGCTGATAGCCAACCCGATCAGCCCCGCCACCCCGGCAATGCCAGCTGCAGCCACTGTGCCCACGATAGCCATGCCAACCAGCCCGTCTGTAAACAACAACACCACCAGTAAATACCCCAACAGCAACCGTCAGCGTGTCTCTGTCTCTGTTACTCTCTCTCTGTCACTATCTCTCTCTCTCACGGGTTTCTGGGTTTTTCTCTCTATCACACTCTCTCTGGGTTTCTCTGTCAGTCTCTCTCTCGCTCTCTCTGAGTTTTGGTCTCTCTTGAGTTTCAATGTCTCTCTCTCCCTGAGCTTTGTTCTCTTGGTTTTTTAATCATTCTCTGGTTTTCGCTCTATCTCTCTCGGTTTCAATGTCTCTCTCTCTCGCTCTGGGTTTCGTTCAATCTCTCCAGGTTTCTCTCTTTGCATTTCAGTGTCTCTCTGAATTTCTGTCAGTGTCTCTCTCTGGGTTTCTCTGTCAGTGTGTCTCTCTGGGTTTCTTTGTCAGTCTCTCTCTGTCAGTCTCTCTCTGTCAGTGTCTCTCTCTATCTCTGTGTTTCTGTCTGTCGCTCTCTGGGTCTCTGTGTTTCTCCCACTTTCTCTGGGTTTCTCTGTCAGTCTCTCTCTCTGGGTATCTCTGTCAGTCTCTCTGAGTTTATCTCTCTGAGTTTCAGGGGCTGTGGGGGGGTGCGGGGCGAGGGGTCTAACCCCTGAGCTACAGGGGCTGTGGGGGGGGTGCGGGGCGAGGGGTCTAACCCCTGAGCTACAGGGGCTGTGGGGAGGGGGACGAGGGGTCTAACCCCTGAGCTACAGGGGCTGTGGGGGGGGTGCGGGGCGAGGGGTCTAACCCCTGAGCTACAGGGGCTGTGGGGGGGGGGCGAGGGGTCTAACCCCTGAGCTACAGGGGCTGTGGGGTGGGGGGCGAAGGGTCTAACCCCTGAGCTACAGGGGCTGTGGGGTGGGGGCGAGGGGTCTAACCCCTGAGCTACAGGGGCTGTGGGGTGGGGGCGAGGGGTCTAACCCCTGAGCTACAGGGGCTGTGGGGTGGGGGGCGAGGGGTCTAACCCCTGAGCTACAGGATTCACATATTATATGGGGGGGGGTTGAGTCGTGGGGGGGGTTTCCTCATTGACGTCTCTTTCGCTGTCTCTCGCTCACTCACTATCACCCTCTGCCTTTCTCTCGCTCTGTCATTCTCCCTCGCTCGCTATCTCTATCTCTCTCCCTCGCTCTCACTCTCTTCTCACTCTCTGTCTCTCACTCTCTGTCTCTCACACTCTCCCTCGCTCTCACTCTCGGTCTCTTTCTCTCTCATTCTCACCCTCTTTCTCTCTCTCACCTTCTCTCACACACACTCACTCATTCACACACTCTTACTCACTCACTCTCACACTCATTGTCTCACTCACATACTCTCACTCACATTCTCACTCTCACTCACTCACTCACTCTCACACTCACTGTCTCTCACTCACACATTCTCACTCTCTCACTCACACCTCACTCTCTCTTTCTCACTCACTCACTTTCTCACTCACTCACTCTACCACAACAACAAGATTCCATTTATTGAGCGCCTTTCACGTCGGGAGGACGTCCCGAGGCGCTGTACAGTTGGGTCAGGACCCGAGTCTTGGGGGGGAAATGGTCAGTGTGAGGGGAGGGAAGGGAGGGGGTGAGGAGGGGGTAGAGAGTCGAGAGCGGAGCTGAAGGTCAAAGAGAAAGGTCTTGAGACCGGCCTTGAAGGAGGAAAGGGAGGAAGCGGCGAAGGCACCGGGAGCACTCTCTCACACTCTTACACTCACTGTCTCTCACTCACATATTCTCACTGTCTCACTCACTCTCACTCTCTCTCACTCACACATTCTCACTCTCACTCTCTCTCACTAACACATTCTCACTCACACTCACTGTCTCTCACACATTCTCACTCTCTCTCTCACTCACTCACTCACTCTCTCACTCACTCACTCACTCACTCTCTCTCTCTCTCTCTCTCTCAGTACCTGCAGCTGTTGCTGAAGCAGATGAGAGAGGTGTTACAGAAGCACACAGACCGGGAGGTGCTGGAGACCTGCAGTCGAGCCTATTACACCCTGAGCCACGAGGACTACAATATCCACAGCCGTGTGGACATCGCCCGCAGCCAACTCCTGGACAGTCTGGTCACCGTCTTCACTCACTCCACTGAGGACCTGCTCCACGAGGTCAGTCTGACCCGCCTCCCTCCCTCCCTCGCTCTCCCTCCCTCGCTCTCCCTCCCTCGCTCTCCCTCCCTCGCTCTCCCTCACTCGCTCTCCCTCGCCCTCGCTCGTACTCTCTCTCCCTCCTTTCCTTGCACACTCCCTCCCGCCGTCGCCTGGAATGTGAGTGTGGTGTGTATGTTGGGGGCGGAGGTTTGTGTGAGCCGGGCTGACACTGTGTGTGTGTGTGTGTGTGTGAGTGTGTGTGTGTGTGTGTGAGCCGGGCTGACACTGTGTGTGTGTGTGTGTGTGTGAGCCGGGCTGACACTGTGTGTGTGTGTGTGTGAGCCGGGCTGACACTGTGTGTGTGTGTGTGTGAGCCGGGCTGACACTGTGTGTGTGTGTGTGTGTGTGTGTGTGAGCCGGGCTGACACTGTGTGTGTGTGTGTGTGTGAGCCGGGCTGACACTGTGTGTGTGTGTGTGTGTGAGCCGGGCTGACACTGTGTGTGTGTGTGTGTGAGCCGGGCTGACACTGTGTGTGTGTGTGTGTGTGAGCCGGGCTGACACTGTGTGTGTGTGAGTCGGGCTGATGCTGTGTGTGTGTGTGTGTGTGAGCCGGGCTGACACTGTGTGTGTGTGTGTGTGTGTCAGGCTGATGCTGTGTGTGTGTGTGTGAGCCAGGCTGATGCTGTGTGTGTGTGTGTGTGTGAGCCGGTGTGAGCCAGGCTGACACTGTGTGTGTGTGTGTGTGTGAGCCAGGCTGATGCTGTGTGTGTGTGTGTGTGTGTGTGTGAGCCGGTGTGAGCCAGGCTGACACTGTGTGTGTGTGTGTGTGTGTGAGCCAGGCTGATGCTGTGTGTGTGTGTGAGTCGGGCTGATGCTGTGTGTGTGTGTGTGTGTGTGTGTGTGAGCCGGGCTGATGCTGTGTGTGTGTGTGTGAGCCAGGCTGACACTGTGTGTGTGTGTGTGTGTGAGTCGGGCTGATGCTGTGTGTGTGTGTGTGTGTGTGTGTGTGTGTGTGTGTGTGAGCCAGGCTGATGCTGTGTGTGTGTGTGTGTGTGTGTGTGAGTCGGGCTGATGCTGTGTGTGTGTGTGTGTGTGTGTGTGAGCCGGGCTGATGCTGTGTGTGTGTGTGTGTGTGTGTGTGAGCCAGGCTGACACTGTGTGTGTGTGTGTGTGTGAGTCGGGCTGATGCTGTGTGTGTGTGTGTGTGTGTGTGTGAGCCAGGCTGACACTGTGTGTGTGTGTGAGCCGGGCTGATGCTGTGTGTGTGTGTGTGTGTGTGCGAGCCAGGCTGATGCTGTGTGTGTGTTACAGACAGGGGAACCTGATGAGGACACGCTGTACACAGTCACTACGTCACTCAAGAGGATTTCTGCACTTTACAAGTGAGTAGTGGTTATGGGGTGCGGGAGGTGTGACCCGCCCGGGAATCCGCCCCGGGTTCTCGTTTGTAATTCCCGGGCGGGTCAGGTCAGGGCAACACCATAGGCAAGTTTCCTTACTGCACACGCACACAGGCACACGCACACAGGCACAGGCACACAGGCACGCATACACACACAGGTACGCATACACACACAGGCACGCATACACACACAGGCACACATACGCACACAGGCACACATACACACACACAGGCACACATACGCACACAGGCACACATACACACACACAGGCACACATACACACACAGGCACACATACACGCACACAGGCACACGCACACAGGCACACACGCACACAGGCACACACGCACGCGCATATACACACACAGGCACACATACACACACAGGCACACATACACACACAGGCACACATACACACACACGCACACACGCCTGTTTACCAGCAGTAACCAGGAACCCGCTTGTGAGTCGATTGGGCGATCACTTTCTGGGGGTAATAATCCCTTAAAAAAAATGCGGTCACTCAAACCCGACTGTTTGTGGGGACGTCGCTGGGGGCACAATTGGCCGCCGCGTTTTGCCCACAAAACACACAGTCACTACACTTTGCAGTGTGTCCTGTGAAGCGCTTTGAGGCGTCTCGAAGATGTGATGAGGCGCTGTGTCAAATCCAAGGATTATTATTATTGTTGTTACAGTGCTCACTGTGATTGTGTAACTGTGCGCGTGTAAAACTGTGTGTGTGGGTGTGTAACTGTGTGTGTGTGTAACTGAGTGTGTGTTTAACTGTGAGTGTGTAACTGTATGTGTGTGAGTGTATGTGTTTGTGTATGAGTGTGTGTGAGTGTGTAACGGTGCGTGTGAGTGTAACGGTGCGTGTGAGTGTAACGGTGCGTGTGAGTGTAACGGTGCGTGTGAGTGTAACGGTGCGTGTGAGTGTAACGGTGCGTGTGAGTGTGTAACGGTGCGTGTGAGTGTGTAACGGTGCGTGTGAGTGTGTAACGGTGCGTGTGAGTGTGTAACGGTGCGTGTGAGTGTGTAACGGTGCGTGTGAGTGTGTAACGTGTGTGTGAGTGTGTAACGGTGTGTGTGAGTGTGTAACGGTGTGTGTGAGTGTGTAACGGTGTGTGTGAGTGTGTAACGGTGTGTGTGAGTGTGTAACGGAGCGTGTGAGTGTGTAACGGAGCGTGTGAGTGTGTAACGGTGCGTGTGAGTGTGTAACGGAGCGTGTGAGTGTGTAACGGAGCGTGTGAGTGTGTAACGGAGCGTGTGAGTGTGTAACGGAGCGTGTGAGTGTGTAACGGAGCGTGTGAGTGTGTAACGGAGCGTGTGAGTGTGTACGGAGCGTGTGAGTGTGTAACGGAGCGTGTGAGTGTGTAACGGAGCGTGTGAGTGTGTAACGGAGCGTGTGAGTGTAACGGTGTGTGAGTGTAACGGTGCGTGTGAGTGTGTAACGGTGCGTGTGAGTGTAACGGTGCGTGTGAGTGTAACGGTGCGTGTGAGTGTGTAACGGAGCGTGTGAGTGTGTAACGGTGCGTGTGAGTGTAACGGTGTGTGTGAGTGTAACGGTGTGTGTGAGTGTGTAACTGTCTGTGAGTGTGTAACGGTGTGAGTGTGTTTCAGTGCTCACGACCTGACCAAGTGGGAGCTGTTTGATCATTGTTACCGGTTGGTGGAGAGAGGCTTTGAGAGCGGAGAGATTCCCGAACAGGTACAGCCCCCAACCCCCCGCTCACACTCACCCGCTCACACTCACCCGCTCACACTCACCCACTCACACTCACGCTCACACTCACCCACTCACACTCACACCCCCGCTCACACTCAAACCCCCCGCTCACACTCACACACCCCCACTCACCCCCCCGCTCACACTCACCCACTCACACTCACACACCCCCCCGCTCACACCCCACCCGCTCACACTCACCCGCTCACACTCACACACACCCCCCGCTCACACTCACCCACTCACACTCACACACACCCCCGCTCACACTCACCAGCTCACACTCACCCGCTCACACTCACCCGCTCACACTCACACACCCACTCACCCCCCCGCTCACACTCACCCGCTCACACCCACCCCCGCTCACACTCACCCGCTCACACTCACACCCCCCGCTCACACTCACCCGCTCACACTCACCCGCTCACACTCACCCCCCGCTCACACTCACCCGCTCACACTCACTC